AGGAAGCACAGTTTAGAGGCGTTTTCAAAGCTTTGAGTTGTTAGAATTTGAAAAATGTGACTCCTTTGCACCTAAAATAAAACAAGAAAACTTAAAAAACGATCAGCTTAAAGTGCGTAACGTCAACGGATGTTGAATAAATCTGTGGTTTCAGGCATTCTCTGCTTCTTCTGGTCGGTTTAGCTGTTAGAATTTCACTATAATTACTCACTTTAGCATGGTACGCTATCACATGATCTATGTACATTACTGATTGTTTTATTTTTTTTTATAACTATATTTTGTGTTAAAGTCTCTGGCTGTGTCCACAGACTCTCTTTTTCTCTCTCTGTTGCATTAGATCCACCTTTAGGTCAACACACACACACACACACACCATTTGTTACCACATTCCTGTAATCTGCATGAATTAGGACCTGGCCTGTTCCTGCCCAGAGGTTTTTGTCTGTTAGAGCCCAGCTGATACACTTAGCTCTGTCCTAATAAATGTAATTTTTTATACTTTTGATCCACTCTGGTTTATTCTCAGGTTTCCAACTAAAGAATCGGGCTAACAACACGCAAAAACCAAACAAAAACAACAACAAAAGAACAGATTTGAACCTCCAACTAACTTGGAGAGAGGTTTTTGTCTGTTAGAGCCCAGCTGAACCAAATAAATGTTATTTTTTATACTTTTGATCCACTCTGGTTTATTCTCAGGTTCCCATCTAAATAATCTGGCTAACAACAAGCAAAAATCTAAACAAAAACAACCACAAAAGAACAGATTCGAGCCTCCAACTAACCTTAAAAAAGCAAACCGGGGGCGGGAGACGGCCCCAAAGCATGCTGGGAGATTTCCCCACACACCTGCCACGGCTTAAGCTGGTGGGGGGGGGTCTAGGGGGGGTGAGGGGAGATTTAAACTGTCTGAAAATGTTTCTGTAATCAGGTCTGTGTGGAGCAGAAGGGATCCGAGTTCTGATGCTGTCAATCAAAAAAACACTATTGATTAATTCCCCGTGCTTCGTTTAATCAACTAATCACTTCAGCGGTAATCCCGAATATAATG